AACTTTGGTCAGCTACTTTTTGTGGAGGAAAATATTGCATAGTTAATTAACTGTGTAGGTTCTCACCCTTTTGTGCCCTAGAAAGGGTTGGTAAATCAAAATATAATCAGGTACATATTTTGAATAATATTGCATAGCTATATGCAATGCCTTTGATATTTGGTTATTACTTGATTACCAATGTGTTGTGATAGTCATGCTTTTCAAATGGCAATTGATTGGCATGATTCAATATGTTGTGGTTTGGTGATGCTTTGCATTCAACTCGACACGATCAGTCATCGCTGCACATTACTCGGTAATTCAATCAATCAACTGAATCAATACAATGCAGTTCATGTTGCAACCACAATGTCACGTTGATGATCAGTGACTTGCAACTGTTGTGTTGGCATTGCATGTTGTGTGCTACTATATCAATATCGATTGTCACTATATAGTTGTATCAACCACACATCATGATCATATGTCATGGTTGACTCGTATTTTGGATTGATGCACTCATTACATTGTATCACTCGAGCAACTCGTTGTATGACTCGTTGTATGTACACTGTAATTGTATCCAGTCACTCAACATTACAACATTGTTGAGCATCAATCAACAACTGCAATCGATATCAAACTACCGTGTACAATCAATTGCAGTCCACACCAGTTATAGTTGATGGCAAATGTCATAGTGTATGTTGATGGTGTTGCATTCGAATACATGTCAACCACACACAACCGGTACATACATGAGTAATGACGGCACTTGACGATCACAACGATTGATACCAACCACATCGAGTGAGTTGATATATTGCATTGACATTGGATACTCGATATCAACAGTGCAATATGGTATACTGTTGCAAGTATATGATGGTTCACACTTTGTTAGTATGTTTGATCATATTGCACCAATTGACCAGTATACGATCACTGGATATATCGCATGTTGATATTTACCACTGCAAGTATATATTGATGATAGTCGTATTGATACAGCCAACACCAACATGTCAACCATGTAAATCTGTTGCATGCATATGATCACTCACAAGACTATTTGATTATCAATGACAATGTCAAGCAAATACTATCCAATGGTTTCAATATACATAGCTTGTAGTTGGACACGATCGGTATTCGTATACACATGTTGTAGTTGTATGCATTGCACTTGCCGATTTGTGGATTTGTGCATTTGTTTGATGCAACTGTTGATATTGATTGGGACGACGACCAACGTTTCCGGTTGTGGTTGTGATGTATGATATATCACCAGATGACATGCTATGTGATCATACTGCATACATTACACTAGACAGCTGACTACATGCAAATGATTGATACTGATCATTGCAAGTACACAACAATGTGACAAATGACTGTCAAATCAAATATGGTTGATATGTTTTATATACTGGATGTTGATGTTGATGTGAATACAAAACCTCGGCTGATACATATCGTATCATTTGATACCAAAACAATGCAATGTGATGTTCAAAGTCAGTTTGTAGTATGTCAATGGAATATGTACAAATATTAAATATGAGTTTGTGGATACTTTCAGGTTTGAAGATCATGGATGTCTGATGACATATTGATAGTTGTCATAATTGTCAAGTGTGTTGCAGTTGATCAAGGATGTAAAGGAATGAATCAATATTCGATTGTGTTGTTTATTAACAAGAAAGTGAGTGTGTTTATAAAATGGAAGAAACCAAGAAAGTCATGTGAATTCCAGTTCAAACGTCATTGTTGTTGGTTTTTGATTGTTAAACTATTCAGAAATGTCTCACATTCACACACTACTAATGTCTCACACAATGCAAGTCAACACTCTCACACTAGTAATGTCTCACATTAATGAGACATTAATTCTGGTGTAAATTTGACTAATTTCCAAATATTTAAATCGTGTGAATTGTCTTGAAATATCCCAAAATTTTGTTATTTTGACTCGATTAAAAAGTCGATTTTTGTTTTACAATTTGACAAATAAATTGCTTTTTTACTCTTTTTCTTTTCATAAAATGAACACAGACGACCTATTCCTCAACGTCCAATATGGCACACTTACTACTGAAATCGATGTGACTGGAATCAGTAGACTTGGTGGAGTTCAGGATGCCATCAAGTCTGAGTATGGTCCTGCTATTCCTGTCCCACCTGCTTTCATCCAGCTATACACCAACAGTAACAAGGACCAACTAATCAACACCTGGGCTTTATTCAGCTCTCTTCCTCAATAATACTTTACTCAAGACGGTTCTTGTGTTGTTATTGGTGTTTCCCCTCTACCTTCAAGACAACCTACTCAAACTGACCTAGGTCCAACATCTGCTGCAGCCTCACCCGCACTACTGGATTTTTGGACTGCTTTCACAAACTACCCTAACCCTCTTGAAGGAAACACTGTTGTCCAACTTCCAGCAGACGTATTCATCCTTGGAAACCATTCAATTGGATCATCCATTTACATCCGTCCTTGTTATCCTAAACTTCTTGAAAAATCACTATCTATTGTGCAATCTGCTGGTATATGTCGTTTGATCATCCTTGGAAATCCTGGAATTGGCAAGACATATTTTGGTTATTTTTTGCTGTTGCATCTTGCTCGCTCTGGTGCTACAGTCGTGTATGAAAGTTTTCAGGAAGAATGTCTATACTTGTTTACTCCTAATGGGGTATTCAAAGGAGATCGTAGATCTTTCCATAATCAGTTGATGTCCTTGTCAACATTCTACATTGTTGATGGCATGGCTCCAACTGTTGTTAATGCCAGGACCATTCTTGTTACTTCACCTCGTTGGGAAATTTGGTACCAGTTTTGCAAGAATTCCTGCGACATTCGGTATATGCCAGTGTGGTCAAAAGAAGAATTGCATTCTTGTCGCTCAATGCTGTTTCCTACAGTTCCACAAGAATTGGTTGAAAGCCTGTATTTGAAGTGGGGAGGAATTGCTCGTTATGTTCTTAAACATGCATTGGTAAAAGAACAACAGGATTTTCTCGACAAAGCTTTAGAGGTTTCCAATATCGATTCAGTTGTCAAGTCTTTTGGTAAATATGGTGAAAACCTAGACGCTTCAAGTTGTTTGATTCATATATCAGTCAAGGATGGCTTCCACAGTGGTCCTTATCAGTTTGCTTCTGACTATGTGGTTGATGAAATTTACAACCGTGTCTATGCCAGAGACCGAGATCATCTTATCAGATTCGTTTCTGTCACTCGAGAAATTGGTGAAACTGGCCAACTTAATAGGGTATTATTTGAAAAGCACGCTCATACAATCATCGCTAAAGGTGGTTCATTCAAGATTCGTGATTTACGTACCAAGCTGGAGTCTACACTTCAACTGCCGATGGATCTTAGTACTTTGTTATTCTCCAACAATTCTCAAGTTCAAGACGCAACGAATTGCTATTTCCGTCCCATTAGCAATATTTTTGAATCTGTTGATTCGTTCATCAAGCCAAATCTACTTTTCCAAATGACCGGTGCCAAAGATCATCCTTGTAAACAGACTGAACTTTGTGATGTTTTGGAAATACTTGGTAATCCGTCAAAACCAGAACTGTATTTTGTTGTACCTCCTGATCGTTTTGCCTGTTTTACACGCCAAAGCCACCACGGAACAGATGGTCAAGTGTTGTCACAAAACGATACTATTGCGAGTGTTGAGAAGTTGACTCGATTTGTTTTGACGTTTGAACCATCTCATCAATAAGGTATGTAGACTAGAATTAATGATTTTTATTGGCCGCATAACGCTAATCCTAACTCTGTTTCTTGACCTCGTTCTACACAATACACGGCGTTTGATTTCTTAAAGGTGAATAATATCGTATGGGTTCCATTGGACAACAAACCTCACTTTGTGGAAATGACCACTTTCATTGTCAGGAACTTCCCAGTCGTGTAATTTAATCGCTTTAGTTTTGAAACCTATAGTTTCTTGTAAATAATTGCATATCCCAAGACTGTTTTTCACCATACAGTTTTGAAACTAATATTTTGATTCAAGAACAAACTGCGTTTTCCTTTTTCTTTTGCAAATAAAAGTTGTTTTGTTGCTTACAACTATGGACAATCAATTAACTGCCAAACTGTACAGCAGTTTGGTTGACATTGGATTTGTCCGATCGATAGTCTTGGTTTTCAAACTTGAATCAAACTCCCAGCTGACGAAACACTGCAGGGATTGTTACAAGCACAAAAGCAGCTGTTTCAAGAGATGTTGGTATTATACAAGGAGTACCAGAAAGTATACTCTTACAAAGAATTGTTTGCAACTGAATTGAATCAAATAGCCATACGTGATAAACAGCGGATTGATTATGGCTTTATTCCCAATCAATGGTATTGACAAAACCAACCGGGGATGAGCCAGGATCAAGAGTTGGAGGCTAGACACAATTATGAATGGAATATGCTAGAGTATCAAAAAGATGATCAAAGAAAGCGTGAAATTCAACAGATCAGCAATGATGTCCAAATGCATAGTGTAATCAAGCAGATTTGAATCCATTTTGGCATTGCAAGACACAATATCACATTTGGAAGAGTTGATTGGAAATATAAAGACTCGTACTCGATAAACACGGACTTGTCAGTAGTTTGATTTTATACTCTATCATTCTTACAACAAGATCCAGCTAAACACAGTCTGGTGTGTACATTAACGCTTAGTACTGGTTAAAAAACTACCCATTGTATCCAGTTTGAGGCATCAAGTATGAGTCTGGCACAAATAGCTTGTATTTATTATGAATTACAAGCAAAGCTATTGACTATTCTACCCTAATACTTTTGACTTGAATTCCTTTCTGCGAATAATTTATGTTTTGACAACTTTGTGTAGATCGTGAGCATATGATGGCATTGATGGTTGTCATTATTGGCAAGTAGATCACAGCAAATCAAAGATACAAAGGAATGATCCAATAAACTAATTGCGTTGTTTATTAAAGAACGGGAAGAGTGTTTTTATAATATGGGAGAGCGATGAACAATACCAGAAGGAAGGAATGTATGCGGATCATCGTTCAAGCATCATTGTTGAGGATACCTGATTACTATAGATCTTCCATCCGAGGTGACTGGTGATCACAACTGATGATCACATTCCAGATATATACAAAGGATTCACTCAGTGCAAATCAACAGACTTGACATCTCAACACTCTCACATTACAATGACATACGCTATTAACTGTTCAACAATATCGAGTTTAATTTGGTGGATATTAATCGGTGTTGCTTGATCATCAAATGGCATACATGTCTAATGGCCGGTATCAGAAATGGACACCACCAATCTATCAAAATGGCACAAATGGAGCATGCATTCCAACTGATCATATATTGAGTTGTATAGCAACATATTGTGTAGTAATCATGTGTGATCCATTGTAAATCATAACCACATGTCTAGCATACTTTGTGTCAATTACTTGTTGGTATAAAATGGATGATTTGTCCAATTTGTATTCAAATGTATTGTAAAAATGGTGTTTTTGATCAACTAATACTATATGACCATGAATGATGGAACTGGAACATGATTACAAGTATACACATTCAAACATTTGAACAACTCTGATACAATCAAATGTATTGTCACCTGTCAGTTCTACATGACTGTATCGGATCTGTTCAAATACCTGTGATGTGTATATCTGCAACTCAAGATCGTGAATGCTGTTTGTAGTGCAATGTCTGTCATGACAACCCATATCAGTTATACAGTGTGTATCATATTTTAACAGCACTGATCATGTTTTGATGGATTGTTATACGTCGCAACGCCTTGAAAGTCAATTCTACCACGCAAGTTGTGAGATTGCAAGTCGAACAATATCTCGTGTGGTAGTGCTTTCATATGGAGCAATATTGTATCACATCAGAACATTGTATTAGTCGACAGGCACACGATTGTGATGGTAATGGTTTGCAGTTTGATACACGTTTGACAAATGAAACGCAAGTTCATTTGGACAATTACGAGTGTTGGCTGATTGCTGCAAGATTGCACCAAGATTGCTGATATTACAACAACCACAAATGTGTCCAAGACTGCTGTGAAGTTCCAGTATATGGACAGTTGGTAGGATTACAACAAAATGGCATTTGCAAGTTTTATGTCATGGCTATGTGGAGTCATGCTGTATTGATATGTCCATCTATGATACAATGCTAAAAATGTTGAATGAACAATGGATAATGAGTAATGAACAATGGGTAATAGAAATATAATTGGTGAGCATTTTTCAAAGCATACATTAGGTGACATTCCGTATAACAATATCAACAAAAACAGTAGTTTAATGGATGAATCTAGAAATACTATACCATCGACATTGGATTGCTACTCGAGACTGATTGGTGGTTGATCAAATGGGACAATGAAATATTTGACTGGTTGTGATTAAACATACATTACAAATTGTAATTTACAACGTGGTTGTGGTTGGTAAACCGATAATGTCATGCAACTACAGTAAGATCCAAACCCAAACTAATCCACTCCACTCCAATCTAGTCCAGTCTAGTCCATTCGTGTTGTTTTGTAATCACTGTATCGTGTAATATTTCATTTAGTGACCAAGAGTTGTCAGGAATCAATTGTTGTAATGAGTGGTTCAAATTGATGTTTTGTGTGTTGATCACAATGGTTGTGTATTACAAGATCACTTGCGGTATCAATTTGTCAATCAACGACTGTAAGTCACTCGAAAAGAGTTTACTGGACTGTATGATTGAAACCAATACCACCACTTTGACACAATCGATACACGATAGTGGATTGACTGCATGGTTATTTTGGCAATTGGATCAACTCTTGTATCGTTGGAACCCAATTTGACAAGCCAGCCATATCCATACAAAACAGACGACTCGAATGGCGTGTTTGTAGCCAGTGTTATTATTTGAACCAGTCTTTCAGTTTTTCCAACCTTTCCAACACTTTCAATCCACTTGATCCACTTGATCCTTGTATCAAGTCGGAACATTTAAAACATCTACCATAAACCATTACAACCAGTTTTACATATTGGATCTATAAAAATGTTGAACAAGCTCAAACCAGCCATTGATTAAATCGAGTTGTTAAATGCTGAGTTTCATGACTGGTTGTGGATAGCTTATTATTGACTACGCCATTCAAATACCGATGATCGAAAACACCAATATTTCAATACACGATTCTATTGGTAACAGTGTGGTTTGGGTATTTACTGTTGTCAACCGATTTCAAGTCTTGTTGATAAATGGTTGCACTTTTGACAATCAGTATATCCGCAATCAGTTGAAATTGGTTTTGATACTGTATGCCAAAAACCTATTTAGTGTTGGTGTGATTCAGGTTTTGAAATACTTGTCTATTTAGACATGCCAACAATGCAACAATGCAACAACACAACACAAACAGTAATACACTGATTGACAATGTATACGCTGAATAATCCAGATATACTTGATATACTTGATACTGTATTAGAACCAATCAAGTTCAACTTTGATTTGAATGTCATGCACAATAGTAAAACTAAACGTGTGATATCAACAATCCACCTAGTGTATGTTGTATATCGACATCATAATGCATACCACGATCACCACATGATGGTGCACAAACATGTTTGACATGTGTCATGTAAACACTCGATATGCCGTGTATTGGCATCTTTTATCATAAACCAACAGCAAGTATATTTGACTGTAGCGACTTTTACTAGCATATTACATCAATCGACTATGCTGATCGACTGTCATACACACATAGTATACCATAGCATAGCATACCATGCAATATCACAGTATTAATGGAATGTATGATACTGTTGATGACAGATCCCAACAGAATCTGAATGGTTAAAGTCGATATTCAAAGTAATGTATTGCTGTATGTATG